GTCACAGTATTAGGAAGGTTGAGAACCATTAGTCTATAGAGGGAGTCCTTATCTTTTTATGTAAATATTTTAGGAGATTGAAACATTTGAAATGTGTTCTCTCCTATAACACACCGTGTGTGTGTGTGTGTGTGTGTGTGTGTGTGTGTGTGTGTGTATGTGTGTGTGTGTGTGTGTGTGTGTGTGTGTGTGTGTGCGTGCACGCGTGCATGAGCTTAAGGTAGGGGGATTTTCTGTGCTGTAACTAAATATCCTGATACAATTTAGAGAGCATGAGTTTCTTTTGGCTTATGATTACAGAGAGATAGAGTCTATCATGGTAAGGAAGACACAGCAGCTATAACAGAATATCCAACTGGGTAGTTTGTATAAAAGAAAGGAGCTTATTTGGTTCATGGTTCTGAGCATCTTCTTGGAGGAAGGGGGAGGACAAGTAGGCATGTGTGGAAGAAAACTGTGATCTCTTTGAAAACCTCTGCTCTCTGAAAGTGAACCCAATTCTTCTAAAAAGTCATTAATCTCTCAACAACCTAATTGGCTCACTGCTACAGTGACAGTCATGTACATGAGTTTCAGGAGGACAAACCAGATTCAAACCATAACAAAGGACTAGCTCACCGGAAGTTTAGGGTGAACTTTGGAGTCAACCCTGTCACCACTCCTCCTTCCCCTAAGGTTTTAGAGAAGCTAGATCTCCAACTAACTGGAAGTCTAAATGGTAGCTGTCTTTGTGGTTGACCAAGCAGCCCAAAACACACCATTGTAGACCCTCTCCTGATAATTAGGTGGAAAGTGACACCGAGATCCTTTCCTAGCCTCTCGGATGGACAATAGCTGCCTGTCTCATACCACAGGATTCCTCTCCCTCCCTATCCTCAGTCACAGGCAAAGAAAACTAGACAGGAGCAAGAACGGTGTTCTGCCAAGCAGAAGAGGGAGCAGCCCAAGCTCTCTCTCACTTCAGTGACTGCCCAACCTCGTGTTCCAAGCAAAGACAAGGTCCAGTGACTCCTCCAGATCTTTTTTTTTTTTTAAAGATTTATTTATTTATTATATATACAGCATGTTTGCCTGCAGGTCAGAAGAGGGCACCAGATCTCATTACAGATGCTTGTGAGCCACCATGTGGTTGCCGGGACTTGAACTCAGGTCCTCTGGAAGAGCAGCCAGTGCTCTTAACCTCTGAGCCATCTCTCCAGCCCCAACTCCTCCAGATCGTAAGGAATTATATTGCCCAGTTCTCTTCCCCTTGGGTAGGCAGGAGCCAGATATGCTTAATTTTGATCTTCCCCATGATGCTCAATTTATTTTATCGGGGCCAGCTTACCACACTTGCTATTTGGAGCGTGTGCCCATAACGAGCCTCCAGTGTAGCCAAACAATCCCTTCCCCGGTTCCTTCATCTGTAGCATTTGGACATGTGATCTTCCAGTCAGCTGATACTACGTAAGGCCTTGACACTGGGGTAACACAGAGGAGAAAAATGGCAGTCTGGAATCTTCCAGGGTGACAGGAAAGGCACTAAGGATGGCATCCAATGTCCAGTGGTGGCTGTGCCAGTGACAGAAATGTGGACACCAACCACATTCTTCCTGTGCATTGATTTGGTCTCTATTTATGGCTGCTTCATTTCCCGTGGTTCCTGTCCATGTCCCGAACCTCATCCTTCAGCTTTCCCATCAACTCTGTGAGCTAGCCAATGTCCTTTTGATAAAGTCTTTCTCTCTAACTAAGCAGAGTTAGCCCCCATTGTTTAGAAACCTGGAAATCTACCTTGCACATGACAACTTTCATGCAGAAACTTGCCCTTTCGGGGGAAGGCAAAAAGATGAGGAAGAGGGTTCTCTGCTTTGTTTGGAGTCTTACCACATCTATGTAATATGCAGTCAGAATGATGACCATATGACACAAAACACAGGGTAAGTTGGAGAAGGCTACGTATAGTATGATGTCAAGTATATCATACCTGGAAGAAACTAACATTGCTGTGGTTTGACTGTCTTCTTCAAAGCCTTGTTGAAGGAAGTATGTCACTGGGGGTGGGATTTCAAAAGCCTATGCCAAGCCCAGAGTCAGTCTCTGTCTCTCTCTGTCTCTGTCTCTGTCTCTGTCTCTCTCTCTCTCTCTCTCTCTCTCTCTCTCTCTCTCTCTCTCTCTCACCCATGGACCAGGATCTAGCTCTCAGCTACTACTCCAGTGCCATGAAGGAAGCCTCCAATTAGAGTTGCCTTGGCCATGGCCATGTCTCTTCACTGCAATAGGACAGTGATTAAGACACATAGGGATACCTGTCTCAGTACCCTTTAAAACTAAAGTGGCAACAAGAATGGTAACTGTGTTATTTTACTGTCCGCTTTTTACAATAGCATGTTCCAGAAACCCTCAAAGTACCTGAAGGTCTCCAGTCATTGTCCTAATTCTGTGGTCACTGTGGATCCAGGAACAGTGGAGCCTTGCAGACAGATCATCCTACCACAAGAGTACCCTCAACCAGGAACAATCTTCTCACAGGAACCAGCTTATCTTCCAAAAAGACGGGACTTCTTCCAGCAACTTTACAGAACTAGAACTGAGATAACGATCACACATTGGCCAAGACTGCTTACCCATGAATACTTCTTGCCCCATGTTCCAATTCTTCTTCTGTTTATACCTAAGGCCTGTGTCAGTGCTCCAAAAATGAACTTGGAACCACTGCACCCGTTGATCTGTATTTCCCAATGTAGTCACACTGATTAAATCTCTTTGCTCTGCTCTTCATAATTACTCATTATCATCATGTGTGTATTGGAATGAGTGGCTGTGAATGGAATATTGGCACTTGGATCCAGGGCTTATTACCTAAGGCTCCAGTAACAAAGCCAAAGGGGGCAGGTAGAGAATAAACAGACTATTCAGAGTATTGAAGATCACATTGAACTTTTTACACTGTCTCTTAACTGTCATTAGGAAGTATTTAAATGTCACAAGGGAACAGGATGAGAAAAGTAGTAGATGTGAACGAATTTGTACTTAGAAAAGATCACTATACTTTGCAGAACTGATGGGGTTGGATATAAATGACTACAAGAAGATATACTGAGTTTTAAGTTGATTTCCAATTTTATAGATTTGTGCTTCCTACTTCCCCATTAAGTATATTATATTGGAAAGAGAATCAATTAAATGAATGAGAGAAGCTTTTAGGTGAATGATTGTTTTGCAAAATAGTTTATTCCTTTATGAGATAGGTGGAAAGATTTTGTTGCAATTTTGATCTACCTATTTGTTTTGTTATTGCTGTTTTTGTTTTAGAAGTGTTTTGCCTGCATATATGTATATGTTCCAGGTGTGTGCCTGGTGCTTTCAGAGGTCAGATGAGGGCAATGGATCCCCTGAAACTAGAGTCAGGGATGGTTGTGAACCACCATGTGTTTGCTGAAAAACCAAACCTGCTCCCTCCTCCCTGACTTGTTCTTTAAGGAAGTCAGGAAAAACAAGGCCACAGGATGTCTTTACCATCTTGGAGAGCAGTAAGGGATGAGCATTCAACAATTGCTCAGTTTCTATCTCTCAGTTTTGGAGGGCCTTGTGATTTTAAATCCTATAATCATCTGGATGCTCTCAAGTCTCTCTCTCTAGCCTTCTAGTCTTCCTGAACCTCAGGGTCTAAATTTAATTGTCTATTGAATATCTCCACTTGGATTTCTAAAAAGGATTTCAAACTGAACATACAAGTCCTGACTTCTGCCTTCAGAATCACTTCTTTCTTTACAACTTGTTCTTCCAAGATGTCCCAATGTCTCTTTTGCCTTCCATTAAAATCTAATGTTCTATCTAAACATTTTATGAACTCTAAAATAGTCTCACAATTCAGCATTCATTACTTCAATTATCATCACACTGGCCTAAATCACTATTATTATGACCTAGGCTATTGTAATAATTTTCTAATTGATGCCACTTTTCACCAACTAATGCATATTTATTCATGTCTGGCTCCTTCTGTGTAATCTCTAGGAGACTGAAGACTTTTGTCTCTTTCCGTTAGTGTGGTAAACTTCAATACAACCTTGTAGATGCTTCATAAATACTTCATGGAATCGATACTTATTTTATTACATTACATAAATAGTAACTTATTTAAGGAGACGCTTGGTTTCATGAACACTGATAGCAAGGTACTTTTATGAACAAACTCCTAGAAAAAGTAGTGAGTGGGGTCAGCAGATGAAAAGCAGCTTCCAGGAGTTGTTTCTGTTTTAACTCAGTAGGAGAGTTTCCCTGTAGGTATTAACAATACTTTACACCACCTATGGCCCTCAACTAAGCATTGAATCACCTCTTCCTTCACAAAAATCAGGCCTATGAATGGAGAGGAACTGCCCAACTCTCAATAACTGTTGGGAGAACAGTGCAGATTAATTAAAAATTAAAAGACAAGGAAGACACTGTTGAAGGGTGGTTGCCCAACTTGGCTACAGTTTGAAGAAAAAGATGAGTGTTGCAAAAAAGCTGTTTCTTTCTGCTCTCTTGACAGGACGGGAAGCTTAACTGACATCAATCGCCCTAATCTAAAATGACAAGCGGCTTGGGCAACTGTGTACAGGGGTGAAGACATGGCACCTGGGGGAGGCTAAGAGAAACAGGGACTAGGACGTATCATTTGGATCCAGCAGGAAAAGATGGTTATAAGACAGAGAATAGCCAGACCCAAGTTATCCACCCAGGTGGAAGAACAGGCCTGCCATGAGAGGCCCAGGTTCACATTAACCTAATCAAACATGGCGCTGGACGCCGACCCGGACCGCGTGCCGGAAGTGGGGAAGGAAAGACCCCCCCCCCACACACACTCCATCCAAGATGGCGGCGGTGACCGAGACGGGAACGCAGAGGCGGGAGCGCCTGGAGCGTCTTTGCCCTCACCCAAGATGGCGGCCCCCGTGGGCGCTGTCCCGGCTCCGCCCCGTGCCGCGGCCCCGCCTCCCCTCCGCCCCTCCCTCCGCCCCCTCGCAGCACCCCGCCGGGTCTGAGGTGCGTGCGTGCGCGCGCGAGGAGAGCGGGCTGCGGGCTGCTCGACATGGCGGCAGTGGCGGCGACCGCGGCGACCAAGGGGAACGGGGGCGGCAGTGGCCGAGCCGGGGCCGGCGAAGGCAGCGGCACGCGGAAGAAGAAGGGCCCCGGGCCCGTGGCCACGGCGTACCTGGTCATCTACAATGTGGTGATGACGGCCGGGTGAGCCTGGGGGGGGCAGGCACGGGGAGGCGGGGAGCGGCGCCTCTGCGGCCGGGCGCCGTGCAGCAGCCCGCGCGGCCGAGTGTGGGCAGCCGCAGCCCGGGGTGGCCGCGGCGGGTGCGGGCTCGGCGGAGCGCGGGCAAGGCTGGCCCGGGGCTGGCCGGCCGGGGCCTCCTCGGCGGGGCGGGTGGGCTGGCCACAGGGGCGGGGAGGGGCGGAGGGGAGCGGAGCCGAGGACGGACCGGCGGACGGACGGACGGGCGGACGGGCGGTCACGAGCGCCGGCTGCGGAGACCATTCATTTCAGCGGTCGTTTTCAAAACCCCGGGCCGAGCTCTCGCCTCCGCGGGAGTGGGAACGCGTTCAAAGTTTGGGGCCCGCCACCGGAGTCGGAGCTGTCCGCCAGACGGGATTTGGACTTTCTAGGGAGGACGGGGGCCAAGGTGGGGTTGGGAGAGACCTGGGCGCCCGAGACGGTTTTGCCTCACTTTCAGCCTGTCCCTTAACAGCAGAGTTTTAGTTCTCACACAACTTGCTGTGTGACTTCGAATAAATCCGCTGCTTTCTCTGGGCCTCTTTTTTTTTTTTTTTTTTTCTCCAGTTTGGTAGAATTGGGCTAGGTGAATCCACTTTCGCAATCCGGTGGTTTTGGTGAGGTGAATCACCAAATATAATTTGTTAGGAAAGTTCTGAGGTGTGAAACACGCTTTCTTACTTTCCTTTTCCCGTTCCCCTTTCTCTTTCTTTCCTGTTTTTTAAGACTAGGGCTCGTTATGTCGTTTTTGCCTGGCCCAGAACTTGTGATCCTCCTGCCTCAGTCTTCTGACTGCCACCACTCTTGACTCCCTAGCATTCATTCGTTTGTTTATTTACTGGTCCTGGAACTGAACCTAGGGCCTCAACACTTGCATGCACTCTACTTAAGCTATATCCCTAGCACTGTAGCCATTTTTGTCCAACTATTTTTTTTAGGTAAAGCTTTCAAATATACAGAAAAAAAATGAAGGAATGTATATTGAAAATCCAGTTTTATTATTATTATTATTATTATTATTATTATTATTATTATTTTTGGTTTTTCGAGACAGGGTTTCTCTGTGTAGCTTTGCGCCTCTCCTGGAACTCACTTGGTAGCCCAGGCTGGCCTCGAACTCACAGAGATCTGCCTGGCTCTGCCTCCCGAGTGCTGGGATTAAAGGCGTGTGCCACCACCGCCCGGCCAGTTTTAATTATTTTATGGAGTAGGAAATACATTGGCAGAGTTCAAATTTTAAAATATACACAAAACATGCATACAGTGCTGTTCCACCCAGATCACCTTACTTGAGTCAGCTAATTTTGTGTAACTTCAGATGCTGATATTAGCACATGCTAATATAAACTTACACAAATGCTATAGATTTATAGTTAGTATGTTGCTTTTTAATGAAGAAATAGGCTGGGAGGATAGTAGGCTTGTTGCTAATATTAGAAATAGGAGGTGTTGAAACATAGGCTCAGGCTGGGCATGTTGGTTCTCTGAGTTTAAGGCCATCCTGGTCTGCAGAGCAAGTTCAAGGACAACCAGGGCTACACAGAGAAACCCTGTCTCAAAAAAAGAAAGAAACATAGGCTTAAGAAGTAACTTGCATAAGATCATACAAGTTCTCAGAATCCCTGGATCTAAACTCAGGTCAGTGAAAACTATTACAAATACAAATTATCTTTCACATAAATCCCCCAGATCTTTTTTTTTTTTAGGAGAACATTTAGGGATCTCTGTATGCTCATATGTAAAATTCCTGTACTAGCAAAGGTGTTGGTAGAAGCATTGTATTGCAGAGGGGACTCAGAGTTCTCTGAGGAAGAAGGGAATGTCTTTTTCTGGGTGATAAGCATGAGATAAGGGTGAGAGGAGTGATAGCTTAAACCAGGAAGAGAAGCTGGGATTTTTGAGAGGGACGTTATGCTTTGATGAACTGATAATAAACTTGAGCATTAATTTGTAATTGGAGTCTGGCCAGTTTTACCAGTAATTCACTTCTTCTATTATAAACCCTTATTTAATGTCCTGCTATGATAGTTTGTAGGTATAGTGCATATATCCCATTGCCTGGTTGAATGTGGAAGTTTAGTTAAATCCAACTGCTCTCTCTGAGATGTGCCTTAATGACTGAGTTCCATTTGCTTCATTATGGGATTTAACAGGGAATCCCAGGGCCTAATATTTATTTTTGAGAAGGAAAGTAGAGCAGAAAGGTAATGTTCACAACTGCATGTTCCTGCGCTTTCTTGTTTCATGTTTTTCTAATCAATAAGCCTATTGATCTCTTTTCTCATTTGGTTTTGGGAAATTTAAAATTATTTTTTCAAAGACAAACTTTTTATTCATATTTCATACGTAATTTAGATAAGAAAGATTATATATGGACATGTCCCACTGAGACTTGTAAGAAACGCTTAAAATATTTTTCCAGTCTTAATATTATTATTAAAGACACTTTAACAGCACAAAACAATTAAAATTGAACCCTTTGTACCCCTTAGACTTTCTAGGCTCCGATTTACCTGCACAAAGACCACTTTAGCTTATTCTGTTTGTATTGTTCTTAGCAGACAAGTGTACCAAAGAGCCAAGTTCCAGATGAGTGAGATGCCATTGTGTAATTTTATTTTAACAGGATGCTGTAGGGGGTGTAACACTTATTTGTGCTACAACTTGGCCTTTGGGAGCTGTAGTCGGTGTGCCTGTCACTTTTATACCACACTTGGAATAATCACTTGCAAATGAGAAAGGTTTGTTTTGGTGCACAGTTTTGGAAATTCTGTCCCACAGCTGAAGGACCTCCTTGTGTTGGGTTTAGTGGCAAATCAGGAACAAAACTGTTTACCTTGTAACCAGGCCACAAAGAGAGAGAGAGAGAGAGAGAGAGAGAGAGAGAGAGAGAGAGAGAGAGAGAGAGAGTGTTAGAGAGAGTTGATATCTCAGAGTCCTCTTTGAGGGCATGTCACCAGTGACTTGAAGACTTCTCACTAGGTCTCACGTCTTAAAGGTTCCACCACCTCCCAATAGTGTCACTCTGGGGACTATGCCTTTCACATGAGTGTGGGGTGGGGTAGTGGCATTAGAACAATGGTCTCAACCTTCCTAATGCTGCGACCCTTTAATACAGTTCCTCATGTGGTGACACCACAACCATAAAATTATTTTTGTTGCTGCTTCATAACTGTAATTTTGCTACTGTTATTAATTATAATGTATATATTATACCTGTGTTTTCCAATGGTCTTAGGTGACCTCTGTGAATGGGTTGTTTGACCCCCAAAGGTGTCTCAACCCACAGGTTGAGAACCACTGTTAGAGTCACACCATAGCATTTGGTAAATCTAGGGTTTTTTTTGTTTTGTTTTGTTTTTTAAACAAGCTGTGCTTTTCCTATACCTTTTTATTATTGTAAGTCCAACTTTTTGGTCTCTCTCCTAATTGTACTTTCTCTTTCTTACTAGGTGGCTGGTGATAGCAGTTGGGTTTGTGAGAGCATACCTGGCTAAGGGTAGCTATCACAGTCTTTATTACTCAATAGAAAAGCCTTTGAAATTCTTCCAAACAGGAGCCTTACTGGAGGTATGTTTGAGATTTTTGTCACTAATTTCAAATGTTATAAAGTAGAAAACATGCTGTTATTATGATAAAATATTGCTGGAAGCCATCTTTGGTGGTGGACAGGTCCTAGCAGAGGATGGAAGGAGTTGGTGAGGGAAGGAAGTGAGCTAGGCCATGGTGGTGGTGAGAATCTTGCAGCCTGACTGACTAGCAGCTAGGGTGCTTCTTTATTTATACAGAATTTAGTAAGAAGGGATAGATTCGTGTTCCAAAACATAGATCATATCATTTTTGTCTTTGGACATGTTTCACATCCTTTTGCTTATCTTTTAGTTATCATTAATAACTATGACAGAACAGTTATCATTTCCAGTCATTTTCCCTCAAGTTTGACATCATTAATAAACAGAGTTATCATTTTTACTCATTAACCCTATAGCCCAATTTTTAAGAATCTAGAGGCATATGACAGCCTGTTCTCAAGCCAGAGCTTTTGTGGCTACAAGGACATTAGACCAAAACAAAAATCTTCAAGCCAGCCTGGGCATGTTGCCATGTCCCAAGCAGTGTATTATTAACTCTTAATGGTCAGAGTGCCCAGGAAAAATCCTCAGGCCAAAGCTGCTGGAGTTATTATTCAAATTCTGGCATAATACAATGTTTATATTTTATATCTTTATAGAATTTGTCTATATGTCTAATCCTGGTATTCTGTTGTTCCTTGGTCATATGATACCAAGTGGCTCTGCATGTCCTATCTTTTCTAAGAAAGAGAGGTCCTGACATCTTATTTTTTTTGTTTTAATCATCTTTCCATTCCATACTTTGCTCATCAATATTAGTCTCTGTGTAGGGCTGAGATAACTTCAGCTAATCTAACTTTGTTGCTGTATATGCCATGTAATTGCCTGAATGTATAGTGGGAAGGGGCTTGCAATCTGATCTGTGGTCAACTCCTCTAATCCACTGAATCTTGTTAACCTTTTTGAGTTTACTTTGTTTTGAATATCTTGTTCCTGCATAAGTACAGGGACAGATGTTTCAAGAATGTCTCACAGCCTCATAAAGACTTCTTTATGTGTGTCACAATTTCCAAGGCATAAGAAAGACCTTCAATAGATAAGGATAACTCCCTAAAAGCAGGAGGGCTAGTCTGTTCAGAACTTTCCTGGGGAGGCTTAGACGCAATACTCCTGGGAGAAGGAATAAATGATTCATAAGAAATTTCCCATCAATCCAATATCCCCCAATTATAGAAATATTAAAAGTCCCCCAAGTGTGCAGCAGGTGGAGATGAAAACCAAAGGTGGCACAGCAGCCATCATGCGGCTGGATCTTTGTCAAGCAGCTGTGCTGGCTTTATGACTTTTGCCATTCCCATCAGATATGGCTGTGCCAAAATATATTGAAATTGCCTTATCCTTGTTGGATTTGCTTTAAATTTGGAAATTTTGCTTTATGAAGTGAATGCCTCAACTGTCTTTGAAATTATGAAAAAAATTAAAATTCTACTTAAGATATTGCTTGGAATATATTGTCTATCCAGCTTTTATAGGAAATCAAATGATGCAAGCTTATGTAAGGATTTTAAGAAATTCTAGGAGTGCCCTAGTGAAGTGTTGACAGACTCATACTTTCAGGGCCCGTATAACAGGGATTGTTATCACAGGGATGATGAGTGTCAGTGGACATAGTGTAGTAGTGATAGATAGGAGACACAGCAGAACCTGTCCAAAGGTATCCAAGTTTAAAATAATTAACAAAGGGCCGGAAGGACAGTAGAGATTCTCAGTGAGGCTGGTGGTTCTGTGCTTATCTTGGTCCTCTTTGCTGAATCAGTATAGTTCAGGTTCTAAGTATAATTGGATTTTTGAATTATGTCTGACAGAAAAAAAAAATCCAGCTCAAAGAATTTTAAGAGTAAAGAAGTCTTCCAGTCTGAAGCTGATAAAGATACAAAGTTATGGGCTAAAGTGATGGCCCGGTGATTAAGAGCCCTGGCTGCTTTCCCAGAAGACATGGGTTCGATCCCCAGCACCCATGTGGTAGATCACAGCTGTCTGTAACTCTAGTTCCAGGGAGTCTGGCACTGTCTTTTGACCCCCCCAAGGGCACCAGGAGTACATCTGGAAAAATACTCATAAAAATAAGTTAGTAAAATAATGTTTTAAAAAGATGAAAGGTTAACTTACAAGATTTAAGGAACCATCTCAGGATTGAGAACCAGTGATTTGATATTAGAACTCTGTTTCTCCTCGGCTCTGAATTGTAGACATCCTTTACATGGTGGGAAGGGGTTTGTTTTTCTGAGCATCTGTGTCAGACATAGTTCTAGGAAGGATTCTGGTTGGCCCTGTTAGACTAATTGATCAGCAGCGAGTGCCTGTTCTTCTGGCCAATGGACTATAGATTTTGGTAGTGGAAAGGGGCTGAGGTTATTTAGGGTCATACAAAATCAAAAGCTACATAGTTGTTGTAATGAAAACTTTTGGGTGGTATAGAAGACATGATGCTCAGTTTAATTTCCCTCATTTTCCAGGGCAAACCCAGCATGACATTTGTGTCTCGGTGGCAATTTAAAACCTGAACTAGGGAACAATGTTTAAGATCTCCAGTTCTCACCCTCACTTTTAAAAGCAGAAACTTGTAGCTTTTGTTTCTGCTTTTTTCTCTTAGAAAGTAAGCACTCCCCACTCTTACGACTCGTCAGGAGTGCTGTGGTGACTTGAGTATCCCCTGAGCACCTGTTCAGCTGTGCTGCATTTGCCAGCTTAGCCTGTGGATTGGTCTTTTATCCCTTGTCCACCTTTGTGATTTGGAAAAGAATTAGGCCAATTTCTAGTTTCTTCCTGCCCAAATAGTTTGAGTCCTCGAAAACCAGCAGATTCTTTTAGCAGGCTTTCTTGGACTGCCAGCCCCCAAATCATGACACAGAGACTTATTGTTAATTATGAATGCTCGGCCTTAGCTTAGGCTTGTTTCTGGCTAGCTTTTTTTTTTTTTTTTTTAAACTTAACCCATTTCTTTTAATCTATGTGCTGCCTTGAGGCTTGTTTACCTCACCTACGTACTGTCCATCCTGCTTTCCTGCTTCCTCTGTGTCTGGGTGGCTCCCCTTTTCTCTCTGCCTGCCAGCCACGCCTGTCCTTCCTCTGCTTAGCTACTGGCTGTTCAGGTTTTTATTAGACCAGTCAGGTGCCTTAGACAGGCAAGGTGAAACAGCAACACATCTTTACATAGTTAAACAATTCTTCTGCAACACAAACAAATGTAACACATCTTTACGTAGTTAAGCTACTGTCCTATTCCACAACAGATTCTAGTGTGAATCATTTTTCAGCTTAGAGCCAGGTTCCTGAAGCAGGGAAGAAATAAGTAAGTGGCACTTTGTCTCTCATCATCGACCTTGTCACACACAGTTCCCTCAGCTGCAGAGAAGCATATCTGAGATCAGGGCCATCAGAAACTGCCTCCATGCTTGACGTAGGGGGCGTTACTCAGGGTTGGAACACATCAGTGATTTTAATGGGATTTCCTTGAAGATTCTGTAATATAATTTAAAAATTTAAGTATGTCTTAGGGAAGGTAAGTAAATTAAACAGTATATTACAGAATTCACTCCAGAGCCAAGTCTTAGACTTTGAAGGATGATTGGCCTGTTCATCTCTGTTGAATTTCTAATAGGGATTTAAGAAATTAATTTAAAAATTTTTTCTTTATCTTTGTCAATCTCCCTAAAAAAATTATTGCGTGACAAATCCTGGATTTAGTTTTAGGAAAAAGACTGCCCCCAAATGGAAAAGTCTTTCAGCCACCCACCCCTAAGAGAGAAAGACAATCAAAAGGGCTGTGTCTAATGAAGCCATGACTCCTGAAAATGAGCAGATGGACATTGCAGAGGTCCATGGTGGCTGCCTGCCAAGACACTCCTCTGTGCAGTGCTTAAGAAAGGTTCCATCACCTGCACAGCAGCTTTGTGTAATCATTAGATGTGTGCGGATTGGTGAGTTACAGTGCATCCCCTTAACAGGATGAGAAAACTAATCTGGATAAGTTAGCCTCTCATTTACCTGTGTGCTGACCGATGTTCTTTAGGGGGGCCTTTTGGGAATTGGCTTAAAAAGGAAAAAAAGTTAGTTGTTCCTAAGAAATTTCAAATCTTCTTAGGAATATATAAAAGACTTAAAAACATTTACTAAGCAAGCCCAAATGCACATGTAATGATATGATAAGAAAATGAACCCAAACTCAAAATAATCTACTTTCTGAAGAAATGTATTTATTTATTTTTGCAGAATGGATACTTTGAGTTGATGGTACTTAATATTGGTCTTTTTGTGTGTGTGGAGGAGATATGGGGGGTTGAACCCAGGACCTTCCACATACCAGGCTAATACTCTTAACACTGAACTATGTTGCCAACCTAGTGGTAAGGGATTTTAGTAAAATTGACAGAAACCTTAACTTTATTCTGCCTAGTTATCCAAAAACATATTGAGTGTTTTTTAATGGATAAATTTCCAAATTATTCTACAGGTATTAATTTAAGTGGTTAATGAATACTGTGAAAACTGCGCCCTTCTAAAAAGAAACTTAACTTTAGGCCTGGGGAGGGGCTCTGTGGCACTGCACTCACGTAGCATACACAAGGCCTGGGTGCCACTCTACAGAAAAGAAAAGAAAAGGATCCTTCAGTCTTCTTGGGTAGGTGATTGTATCAGGGCTATTGGCTGGGGATCATGGAAACCTCCTCACATAACCATCAAGAGGGGCTTCTTAGAAGTAGAGTATTCCATAAAGTCCAAGGACAGGAATGTAGCTGGGCCGTAGGAATGGCCAGAGTCAGGAGCTGAAGCAACATAGTGCTCCATCACTTATGGCTGCTCTTCTCTATGTGCTGTCTGAACCATTCTCTACCTGCAGACTGGTTTTCTGGGTTTTTTTTGTGTGTGTGCCAGGTGACAGTAACAATTAAACTCCTGATGTAGCTTTTCCAGCCAAGATGAAAACAGCTAGCTAGG